GGCCTGGGCTGGATTCAAACCCGCCACCTTAGGTGTATGTGGCTGGCGCCTTAGCCACTTGAGCCACAGGCGCTGAGCCTAAATTTTAATTATTATTGAATTACTTTGCGAGGTAACCTTCATGATTAATTCTGTACCGGGATAGCCATCTCTGTTGAGTAATGCCATTGAGTTTTAGAATAGGTGATACTTTGGTTTAAATTTTAGAGCTTGCATATTTCTAAGTAATGTTAAAAATAATAGAAGCTAATTCATAAATTCATACAAAATGAGAATTATAAAATTATAAAATATATCTTATTACTGTGTTGAAGTTCTCTGAATTATTAACTTAAAAATTTTGTTGCAGCGGCACCTGTGGCTCAGTAGGGCGCCAGCCCCATATACCAAGGGTGGTAGGTTTGAACTCAGCCACAGCCAAACTGCAACAAAAAAAATTGCCTGACGTTGTGATGGGTGCCAGTAGTCCCCGCTACTTGGGGGGCTGAGACAAGAGAATCGCCTAAGCCTAAGAGCTGGAGGTTGCTGTGAGCTGTGATGCCATGACACTCTACCAAGGGTAACAAAGTATAACTCTGTCTCACAAAAAAAAAAAAGAAAGAAAAAGAAACCCAAACCCTTTCCTTTGCTCTGTAGAAGAGTATAGCATAATGATGACTAATTACTTCCCTGTATTACCCCCTCCTCGGCATATGTCCATTGAAGGTAAATACTGTTTGCCATTCACTGTCGTATATGCTTCAGTGCTGGCTCAGAACAGGCATGTAACAGTAGACAGTATTTGGTGTTACTGAAGTTGCATAAGATTTTTAACAACCTGGTTTCTGCCTGTTTGGGCTTTCAGCCTCATTACTAACCCTTTCCTTTTGAACCTCCTGTGCTAACTGCCCTATAGTGCCAGGGCGTACTGCCCAGGCTCTCTGCCTTTGCTCATGCGGTTTTTTCTTCATTATCTATCTGGAAGACTCACCACATTCAATCCTGGCTCAGTATTTTATCTTTATTGAAGTTTTTCTGGATCTCATGTGTAAAAGTCATTGCTCTCTTATTTTTGTTCCCCACTACTATTTAGTGGACTGTAATAGTTAGGAGCTTGGGGTCTGGAATCAGGCTTGGAATCTGTCCTAGCTTTATGACTTGCTAGTAGTGTCACTTTCTTCAAACTTCAGTTTTCCCACATGTAAAATGGGGAAAGAATGATTAGGTTATTGTGAGGATTTTTTTTTTTTTTTTTTTTTTTTGAGACGGAGCC